TTCTTCTAAATTTTGTAAATAATTTCAACCGATATCCATTGAAATACTGTTAAAATTTTCAACCGATTTTTTCAACCGAAATCCGTTGCAATTTTCAACGGATTTTCGTTGACATATCATTTTTCAACCGATATCCGTTGAAATTTTCAACCAATTTTTTCAACCGAAATCCGTTGAAAATTGCAATGGATTACCGTTGGAATATCGTTTTTCAACCGATATCCGTTGAAATTCCGTTGAAAATTTCAACCGATTTTTTCAATTGAAATCCGTTGAAAATTGCACAGGCCATTGTTGCTGCACAGGCTCTTCAAGCTCATGCTTCTCAGTTACAATTTCAAACTCAATCAAGTAAGAGCTCGTTTAATACAGTTTATCTTTAATTTCTTGCCTCTATTTAGCCTTGGATCCCCTGTTGTATCGTATTTAGTTTCTTTTCCTTTTGTGCGCTTCATGAGCTAAAAATGGCTTTTGCCTCAGGTTCCACAGAAAAAGCAAAAGATACCGATGCACTGAAGAAAACTCTCCAAGTTAGCAACTTGAGTCCACTGCTTACATCCGAACAACTTAAGCAACTATTTAGCTTCTATGGCACGGTAGTTGAATGCACCGTTACTGACTCAAAGCACTTTGCCTATATAGAATATTCAAAACCCGAAGATGCAACGACCGCTTTGGCATGGCATTGAACAACATGGAAGTCTGTGGTCGCCCTTTGAATGTTGAGATGGCAAAACCGCTTCCTCAGAAATCGTCTGTCTTGAACTCTGTTGTGACTTCATCCCAACTACCCTTGATGATGCAACATGCTGTTGCCATGCATCAGATGCAGTTCCAACAGGCCATACTGATGCAGCAAACCATGGCTTCTCAGCAGGCGGCAAACAGGGCGGCCACCATGAAATCTGCAACTGAGCTTGCAGCTGCTAGAGCTGCAGAAATAAGTAGGAAACTGAAAGCCGATGGAGTTGGAGATGATGAAAAGGAATCTGGTCCAAAAACTAGGTGGGCTTATACAAACTTATTGGCATTTTCCTCTCCATGACATGTGTCATGCCCTAGTTCTCTTTTTCTTTTATCTTTTTCCAACAGTTTTCGTCATTTGAGAGCTTAACAGAGAGTTCTCTCTCTTGTGCAGGTCACCATCTAACTCCAGCGTGAGGTCAAGATCAAGGTCAAAGTCGGAGTCACCAATTAGTTATGGACGAAGACGGAGATCCCCATCTTATTCACCATCGTTTCGTCGCCATAGAGATCGTAAATCAAGATCACCATTAAGATCTTACCAGCGATCGACTTACGACACCAGAAGGCGGTCGTATAGAGATTCTAGGGGTAATGTCGAATGTAGGAGGTGTGACCCTGGTAGATCAGATGATCATCGTCCATCCCGATCAAGGAAAAGTAGGGATTTGGGCCAATATATAAATAAGCTCCTCTCTTAACCTACTTTTGTGGTGGAGTTAGGATCTAAACCTTACTAATTGGTATCAGAGTCTAACTCTCTACTTTCCGGTGGGCCTTTGACGGGTCGTTCTCATGTGGACATGCGGTCGACTCGGTGGTTGTGGGACGGTCGGGAGAGGAACGGTCAGGAGAGGAACGGTCGGGGATGGACCGAGAAGCCGCCATCGACCAGATTTGTCCTAGCGCCGTGGACGTCGATGTCTAATGGGGGATGCATTGATAAGTGTCCCACATTAGAAAATGAGAGGGATTTGGACCAATATATAAGTAAGGGTCAAATCTACACTCTTAAACTAGCTTTTGTGGTGGAGTTAGGACCTAAACCTTATTAATATCTTGTCTGGTATTCATCGCCAAATCGTCCATTTACACCATTTGAGACACCATTATTAAATTAAAAAAATAGAGAATGGAAATTGAAAAATGATAACCGAAAACAAACCACATATACATATACATATATATGCTATATACATGTATACATAGTATATGATATATGTATATAATTTAATCTGCCGGTTGAATGAAGAATGAAATGCGAGATCGAATAATAATATTAGAATATCCGAATTTTCGGATTTGAGTTCAGTAATAGATATAGTCTTGGGTTACTAAGACAATACAAAAATATCTTTTAAATTTTAGGGTTTAGATATATTTATGACTATATTTGTGTAATTTTTTAAAGTGATTATTTAACTCATTATCAATATATTTTTTATTCGTAAATCTATAACGTTTATTGCATATAAACCATGCTAAGGTGGTCTTACAGGTTCGGTTCGGTTACTTATTCTCTGTCAAAGATCATCCCCAACATCTGGAAGACAGGAATCTCAATGGTTATATATAGGGATCATCCTCATCATCTCTTTTTTACCGTATTTTTTTCTTTCATCTCTCTTTCATTCAGATCGGCTCACACATTGGTTCTCGTTGTCAGATGCCCTTCACAGGGAAGGAAGGAAGCTTGATAGGTAAATGCTGTGTAATTGCTGTGATATTGTGGTCTTTCCGGGGCTATTACAAAAGATAAGTTGTTCCATTCACTGAAACCTTGGGTTATGTTACTGTTTGCTTTAGTTCTGTCTTTTGTCTGTTTTTTTTTTTTTTTTGTGTGTATGTTTGGTCAAAGGTTTTATTATGTCCCTGGATTTGGTTTTGTAATCACATACTTTCAATTTGATTAGTGTCATTAGATGTTGTTAATGACAATGGCTTAGTTAATTGAGTTCATATGTTACTGTTGTTTTAACGATGTAAAAAAAAAAAAAGACTTGAATATTCTATGAAATTCTGTAATTTTCTCTTACTCTTCAAACTAATAAAATTCCACCAAGTATTTGTTTAGGCGTTTACTTTGTACATGCACACTATTTTTGAACTTTTTTTTGGGGATTAAAACACTATTTTGAAACTTTCTAAACCCTAATTACTTAATTTGTTTAGAAGAATTGATTTCGAGTCAAGCATGGCAACGGAAACGGAAATTGTCATTAAATGATTTCTAAACTTTCAAAAATATATTTCCTTTTCAGGATGCGTAAAGGATATTATTTATTTATTATTATTATTATTATTTATTTTCTGTACTTTTCGGTAAGCATAAATATTTCAGATTTTGTTTAGCTTTTTTTTAAAAAAAAAAATTTAAGAGAAAACTAAATATGTTAATTTTCAGTGTTAAATTCGGTTTCTCAAACCAACTATTTTCAAAAGAATTTTGTTTTTATTTTAATAACGTGTTCAGGTATCATTGATTTAAAGGAAATGTTTATATTTTGCCACTAGATTTGGTTGGGAGTTAAGTATTCAAATGCGAAAGGCTCTCTTTAATCATTAACGCCGAAGAGGACCGTCCACATGGTCGGTCCAAGCTGATCAAGACTTGTGTTATATGATAACTTTGATTTTTATGCAATATTTTTCAAAATAATTAATTGCCATTATACCAAGTTCTAGACTTAGGCTCCTTTGGCATTCGCTGGATTTTGGTGTAAATAAATAAATAATTAATGTATCAGCTACATTTCAACAAAAATGGAGTTCAATATTCTATAAAAGGTTATAATGAAATCCAACCATATTTCAACGTCCCGAATTTGTAATAATTCCAGCCAAATATGTCGTTACGCTAGCCGTTGAATATTATTTACATCGAGTATTGCATCCAAAATCATATCAACCATTATTGACTATTCCATTTAACACTGTAACAATATTTGTATTGATTCTATATTAAAATTGATTAACTATCAAATCTCGAAATCAAAATAACAATACCAAAATAAAAATAATCAAAATATCTAATCCTATAGTGATGGGACGAGTAACGTATTTTTAGGTAGAAATTTGTTGTTTTTCGGCAACTAGTCTTTTAGTTATAGGCATAAATATGACATGTGATCTTCCGGAATTTTATTAAATCATTATCGAAATATATACAATTAAAATCTATAATATCGAAAACATGAAATTACTAAAGTCGGGATATTTAAAAGATTATCCAAAAAGTGGAGATATCTTGTCTGATATTCATCGCCAAATCGTCCGTTTACACCATTTGAGACACAATTATTAAATTAAAAAATAGAGAATGGAAATTGAAAAATGATATCCGAAAGCAAACCACATATACATATACATATATATGCTATATACATGCATACATAATATATGATATATGTATATAATTTAATATGCCGGTTGAATATTCAAAATTTTAAATATTCGGAGAAATGAGATACAAGATCAAATAATAAAATTAGAATATCCGAATTTTTGGATTTGAGATAGTCTTGGGTTACTAAGACAATACAAAAATATCTTTTAAATTTTAGGGCTTAGATATATTATTGAATATATTTGTGTAATTTTTTAAAGTGATTATTTAACTCGTTACCAATATATTTTTTATTCGTTATTTTTAGATGTCGTTATTTTTTAAAGTGAATATATAAACCATGATTTTTTAGATGTCGTATTATGTTATTTTTTTTAATAATTATATACAGATATTGTTGGATAGATTTATGATAGATTTTTTAAAAATTTAAATTTATTTTGGATATAAATACGTTTTAAATTGATTTAGAATGAATTTTAATATGTATATAAAAATGTATTAAAAAATGATCGAAAATAATTAAAAATACTCTCGCAGTCTCTTGCGTTTTCGAATTGAATGTAATTAAAAATATTGATGTGGTAAAAAAAATGCGGTATAGGAGATGATATGGGAGCGATTTGGTTTCTAAATAAATTTTCTCTTCGCTGCATTTTTAAGGAGATTAATGAATATATGGTAGTTTGATATTATTTTTAATATATTGAATTGTTAAATCGAAAGTTCGTGTATTAGGAAAATAATCTTCTGTCTAATTATATTTACGACGGGTTTTTACCAAAAAAAATACATGTTTACAATGGGCCCACCTTTGGCAAAACCGGTGGAGGCCGCCTTTTTTCAGTTACTAAAAAGACAAAATTACCCCTACTGATCACCACCTTAAATAGTTAAATCCATACATTTTTCACTTCTCTGCGTTCCCCAAAAAAATACACTGAGGTTCCCAAAAGCGGCAAAATCCCAGAAAACTGAAGAACAAACCCTAAGCTCGGCAGATGGATTGTCCCTATGGATTCGCCATTGCTGCCTTTGATTCTTCGTTTCTCTCCCGAAAACCCACCTCCGTTCCTGTTTCCCCTTTCGGATACCCGACCCAGGTCCGATTCGGTCCCGTTAAGATCCGCGCGAGGGTCGTCAACGACGGTCCGGTGAAGCAGGCGGAGCAGCGGTTGAGCTTCTACGACCTTCTCGGAGTTTCTGAATCGGGAACGCTTCCGCAGATCAAGCAAGCTTACAAACAGTTGGCTCGGAAGTATCATCCCGATGTGTCGCCGCCGGATCGAGTGGAGGAGTACACGGAGCGG